AAAATTTTCAGGAATACATGGAGAGATTTTTCCATTACCCGAATGAGATTTCGAATGCCTTTTGCTTTGTGTCTTTGTTTTGATAAAAAAAAAAACTTTTGATTGATCTTTACCATAATTCCTCTTCATTCAATGTATAACACTAAGAATGGATAAAATTAAATTAATTCAATTGTGAAGACGAAAATGAAAATAAAATAAAATAGTGTAAATTAATCTAGCCTCTAATAATATTAATAAACTACTGATTAATGCCCATCCCTTACCAATATTAAAAATAAAAAAATCAAAAGTAATAATATTACAAAATTCTTTCCCCCGCACTATCGTCCACCGCCGAAAGTGTTTCAAATATTTTTTTATAAAAACGCCTGCGAGCCAACACGAAAAGCCAAACACAAATAAGCAAATATTTGACTAAATTTGAATAATCGTCGTCAACAATTACCTGGAGACCCGATGCTGTGAAATTCTCCCCCGACTCGGTACAGTGACATTACTGCCAGCTTTAGTCCAAGTAACCGAGTTCCTTGCATCCGGTAAATCGACTTTGCCAAGATAAGCCTCGCAAAATAGCCTGGCAGCACCACCGAGTTGCACCAGCTGTGATACTGGTTTGTAAGTCACCAATGGTTTACCCGTGTAACCACTAGTGTCTTCACCTGCCAAACAGAGAAAATAAACATAAATAACGATATTCCTGAAACAAATAATGGTGTGTTGACGTTTTGCTTGTTTGCTTTTACCTCGAGACTCACCCACTATCTTGAGGCTAATATCACCAATGAGTGTGTCTGTGTCGTTGCGAGCTTTGCAGGAATAACTACCGGCGTCCGAGTGTCTTGCCTCCTGTGTATAGATCGTCTGATTGGCACTCTCTGGGTACAGAATAAAGTGGCTCACTGCTCCTGGCCACGGATACGCTCTGTCATCTTTATACCTGAAGAGAAAATAAAAATAACAAATATTTGTCAATCATTTTCTCACGCAATTAGTCATTACAAGATTTTTTTTTCTTTGAAACGATCGTGTTGAGGGACAATTGTTGAGGATTTTTTTCGTGCACCGAGAAAAGAAAAAAACAGGTTCTCAAGTAAGACTCGTTTAAACGTTGATAATTTCTCAGATAGAAATTTGACAAGACGAAAGTTGCAAACAAGAATTGTCACTCGGCTTCCAATAACGAAGGATGAAAATACTTCCCATAAAGTGAAGTTAATCTCGATTTTTTTTCCAAGTTGCATTATTCTATTGAAGAATTAATTGCGCATCTTTGAGCATCGGAGAGTTAAAATGAAAAATTACTCTCTTATTTCGCATAAAAAAATAATTTTTCGGGAGCAAAATAGTTATGGTCGTAAGGAATAACAAATGGCTTTTGTTAGAAATGAGATTTCTTGTTTGCACAGAGAATGAAATTTTTTTTTGAACAACTTTTCATCTCAGGACATTCTTCACCTTGAGACGACAAGAGTTTTTTTGAGAAGTACGTCTTTACTCGTATCAGGAAATTCATGGCATCAAAAAATCGTACGCCAAGAAATTTTATACTTGTCCGACAGGTGAGGGCAATTGGTTCAAGAAAACGAGTTCTCAAATCAATTCAAGTGGCTTTTGCATTAGAAGATTTTAAAATTGAGGCCAAAAAAACTATAAAAATGAATTAATTCAATTTTACTTGATTTGAGAAATCGCTTTCTTGTCATCAAGAAATTGTCCTCGTCTTTAGGACGAGTACAAAATTTCTTGACATAAGTTTTTTTTCCTAGTGCAAGATATTTTGCTCTTGAAAATTGTCAAGCCACGAGTTTCTCGATATAAGTAAAGACGTACTTCTCGAAAAACTTTGTTTTTCTCAGTGCAAGCGTTCAGCACGAGATTTTTTGTTCCTCGTAATTGTCAATTTGTGATTCTTCTGGTTTAAACAAGACTCGTTTGAGAACATGTTCTACTCTCAGTGGGTAATTATCTCGATAACAAATGATTTTCGAAGAAAATTCCAAGAGAACTTTTTCGTACGTAAAAAAATTACCAACTGAAATTTTTTCTTTACATTTTTGCATAAACTTAAAAATTTCAATATTTACATTTATTTTTTTATAAAAAAATCTTCATGTTACGTTAAAAAATCTTTCATGTCTTCATGTTACGATTCCACTGCTCAATTGTGAATTTATCTCATTAACAATTGAATTCAATAGAAAAATTCTCTCGGCATTGTCCCTCAAACTCATTCATAAAAAATTCTAAATTCATTATTTCACAACTGAATGATAAAACGAAGAATTTTATTCAACTCTTGTAGCTGCCGGTTATTACAGCAGTCAATTCCTCGTAAGAAATAATTTTAATCATAAATTCTATGCATCGAAATGTACTTGTACGACACATTGTTTTGTACAAAGTACGAAGAAAACTTTGTTTTTCTCAATGCAAGCGTTCAACACGTAATTTTTTGTTCCTCGTAATTGTCAACTTGTGATTCTTTTGGTTTAAACAAGACTTGTTTGAGAACATGTTCCACTCTCAGTGTGTAATTATCTCGATAACAAATGATTTTCGAAGAAAATTCCAAGAGACCTTCTTCGTACGTGAAAAAATTTCCAACTGAAATTGTTCTTTACATTTTTCTATAAATTTAAAAATTTCAATATTTACATTTATCTTGTATGGAAAACATTGTCTTCATGTTACGATTTCATTGCTGAATTGTGAATTTATCTCATTAACAACTGAATTCAATAGAAAAATTCTCTCGGCATTGTCCCCCAAACTCATTCATAAAAAATTCTAAATTCATCACTTCACAACTGAATGATAAAACGAAGAATTTCATTCAACTCTTCAAGCTACCAGTCGTTACAGCAGTCAATTCCTCGTAAGAAATCATACTAATCATAAACTCCATGCATCGAGATGTACTTTGTACGACACATTGCGTGTACACCATCATGCGTGCATTTTCAACAACAAATACAAAAAAAAGGGGTACAAATAGACCAATGGTAGATTCTTAATTATTTTTATTTTCTAAAACGATTCTACGAAGCGAAAAGTGGAAGATTGCCCTCGCCTTCGTTCGAAATGGATCACACGGGGCGGGCGTCCAGTCAAACCCGTGTGCTTGGTGGTTTCACATGTGTGAGAGTATCACACACATTGTACACACAAGCATGCGCCTCGCTCATCAATTATTTTCGGCAATTCCTGGAAGACTCTCAAACTTCCACCAATTTTTTTCTTTTATTTCTACCGATCGCAACGAAGAATTCAAAGGAGGGGGGGGGGAGCGGGAAAAAACAAAACCAAGCAAAGAAATACTTTAAAAATAAAATGTCGAGAACATTTTTGCAACGACAATTGTGCAACTCATTCTCGGTGCAATTGTGCGCGGTTCAAAAGCGACGCAATAATTGTCTTCTGGAAAAGGGATAATTGGTCGCTCCCCCCCCCCCGCCCCTCAGCCCCTCTGTGCCCCCGTGAGAATACTCGGAAGAAGAGGAGTTAAACTTTTGTTTCGCGCGTGCGCTCTTTTATGCACTCGTGGGATGTGTTTTAAAGCTTCGTTACATCGATCTTTATTTAATTTTCTCTCCTTCTCTTTCTTTAAACTGAGAACGAGTTCTCTTCCTGATGTTATCCCGAGTGGCTTCGCTAATTTGCGTCTGGGTCTGCTCCCCTCCTTCCACCCCCGGACAACCAAAAAAAGGGCGAAATGAAAAGAAGAAGATGAAGATGAAGAAGAGGAAGAGACTGAAAAAAATGAGAAGTTAATGGAATGGGCTGATTCGAGCGGGATTTTGTTGAAAAATATCCCATTGTTAAACATATTTTTAATACAATAGAAATGAAAAAAAAGGACCTCGAAACCCGATTCCATTTATGTTTATATAGATCTTAACATTTTTTTACTCGTTAGCGACCGCTGCACAGGTATTTCATACTTTCTCGCACCGACGCAGCCGCCTATTACGGACTTCTCGGAAATCGTTGGTTGCGTGTGTACGCGCGCGCCATTCCTCATTACATTCGCTACCGTCATCGAGCTACGTGAAATAGGTACTTCAATATCCTTCAGCACAAATATCATTCCCACAAAATGATATTGTCTATTTACTTATCACGAGAAATTCACCTCCTAGGAATTCGTTAAATTGTGAGTCATAAAAATTGATGATGGTACATGGTGAAAATTGATAGACAGATGTGGGTCAGATAAGGGCACGAGTTACACCGGGAATTCTTGGAAATTTGACACGCGAGCGAGCATTGGGGGGAATCGCAATCGATTTTCCGATTAAATAAAAAAAAAAAAGGTGAAAAGTCCATTCAACTCCGGATGAGATTTATCGTGATTGGAATGAGGAGAGAAGGGAGTAGAGTGAAATGAATCCTCTGATATACATATCGCGATGAATTTTTTACGATGAAATTTGTTCATAGTGTTGGGCATTGAATCTGTGATGGATCATTTTTAAATCGGTTGAGAGGGGAGTAAAGTCTTCAATTGTTTTGCCGAAAAATTTGTAATAACTGTAAATTACGTATTTACGAGTGATTTTGATAGGAAGTATTAGAATAGAAGACCTTTTTTGTGATACCTGCCTCGAAAGTGCACTTTTTGAAACGGTTTAGTGTGCATAAAGCGAGTGTTTTCCGCACGCCGTGCGTAAAGTTCACGAGTGTGCGTAAAGTGAATTTCGAGTGTATAAAGCGAATTTTTACGCACGAGAATTTACTTTACGCATGACCTGTGAATTTTACGCACGCTGTGCGTAAAACAATCACCTTACGCACACTAAGCGGTTTTGAAACGTGAACTTTTCAGGCAGATATCACAAAAATGAATTTTTCATCACGCTGTGTGTAAAGTGACATTTTACGCACGCTCCGCGCAAAACCCCACTTCCCACACATTGTGATGAAAAAATAGGGTTCGATACTCGCGGGAAAAGTGTTTTTAGACTCATGGAATAATATCACTCGCCTTCGGCTCGTGCTATAAACCTCCCACGAGCCCGAAAACACTTTCCCGCAATCGTATCGAAATATACTATTTCATCACTTGTACGTAAAGTGAAATTCGACGCATGCCTCGCGTGCGCAAAATGCCACTTTCCACACATTGTTCAGAAAAAATGGGATTCGACACTCGTGAAAAAAAGTGTTCTTTGACGCTTGGGAGAAAACCACTTGTCTTCGACGAGCACTACATACCTCCCACGGGTCAAAAAACACTTTTACGCACTCGTATCGAAATCTGTTGCAAGTTCCAAGGGACTTGAAATTGGCCATCGCCCGAGGGCCTCTTGCCAAGTATTTACACTTCATGTACCTAATAGTTGATACAAAAAGAAAGAGTCTGTTTGTGTGTTCGTTTTGCTGGTTGAGCATCCTATTTAGTATATTTCGATATGAGTACGTAATATTATTGTGATATCCAGAGAAAAGAGAAAACACATACAACACAAATTAATAAAACAGTTGGGGTGGCTTATTAACAATTCAGTGGCAAGCCAAGAGACGGATGTGTATCCCACAATCACACTAAAATGAATCGTTGAACATCAGACTTCATCCAAAGCGGTCGTTCTTCGTTCAGCTCCTCGACATCCTTCAGACCGGATGCAGTTTAAAGGGGTTCGGAGGCGGACACGTAACACTATATTGTGTTACTAGTGCGTAAAGCTTCATTCACAATGTGTGGGAAATGGGATTTTGCGCACGCAAAACATGCGTAAGATTTCACTTTACGCACAAGTGATGAAAAATATCTTTTCGTATCCGAGATAATTTCAATTTAATCAAAACTTGGAAAATCACCAACAAAATTTCCTCCAATTGAAAAAAATTTGCAAATTTTCCATCGATATATTCATTCTACCGACAACTTTGTCCATTTCACTATCGAAAAGTGATGAGACTTTTCAATTCACGATT